AAATTGTACCGTAAAATAGGGTTTCTCAACCTATTGCCACATGGCCCAAATGGGCGATGGTAAATTTCAGGTGAGCCACATAAATTTATAATTTTTACTTGTCCACCATAGTTGTATCTTCATTGGACATATTCTATGTAAAATGGAAGTAATTTTTTGGCACTGTAATAATTTCATGGGACCAAGAAGAATTCTGTGTTCAAAGTGGGCCATGAGGTAAAATAGTTGGGAAGCACTGCCTTAAAGGACCACCATTAACAGATATTATGTAAGGCATTTATTTATCAAATCGGTATATCTAACTTGAAATAGAACGTAACTGCAATGAAACGACCATTATTGATAAAATTGATTGCATTTATGATAACGAATAATATTGAAAATTCCTATTTGGATTTTCTCAAGAATATCTATAGATATATATCGGACCACATGTGGCAGCAGTATTCAATGCGATCTACAGGGTGATTGAAAAGTAACTCCCTATTTTATATATTTGTGGCCAGCCAGGAGTCCTAACTTAACACCCTGTGACTTTTTTTTTCTTTGGGTGTTGGTTAAAGCAGCAAGTCTACTGTACCAAACCAAGACTTTGGAAAAACTTGAAGGGCGAATACAAATAGTTATTTCCTCCAGAGTACAAGGGTTCCTGGTGAAATCAGTTAATGTGATTCCTGGGTGTCTCGAGAATCTGGTAGCAAAATCTGGTGCCTGTATCGAATTTTAAATAAAACCTCATGTGAAACGCTTTCTTCTCATATCCATTTCTTGTAAAAATTATAGTTAATAAAAAAGTGTAAGTATTTTAAAATAGGAAGGTACTTTTCAACCCCCCTGTATATATATATATATATATATATATATATATATATATATGTGTGTGTGTGTGTGTGTGTGTGTGTGAAAATATATAGAAAATAGGAAGGAACTGGTTAGGTAAATAATCCAAAGTCCCTTAGTATTTTAGTTATTATTTTTTAAAACAGTGCTCGATACAAAAGTAGAGCATAAATAAAAATTTCGCTTGAAGATGGAACGGAGCCCATTTTACTTTCAACTCAATTTAATTTAAAGGATTATATTGAAGTTTTCGGCTCTTGTTTTGAAACATGAGACCTCTTATGTAGCGATTTGGAATCATATTTTTAAATAAATAATTATATATATATATATATATATATATATATATGTGTGTGTGTGTGTGTGTGTGTGTGTGTGTGTGTGTGTGTGTGTGTGTGTGTGTGTGTATATGTGTGTGTGTGTATATATATATATATATATCTTTCGACTAGACGTCACTTTGTCAGTCATGTTTATTTTCTATAGTTTTTCAACTAGGTTAGCTGACTTCTTTATATGAGATGGGGTGATTGTTCCAAGGAAAGGGGCTAGAATTTTGTTATGAGGAGCGCTTTCTATTTCTGAAATAATGGCGTGTATTGGGATGCCTGTATTGTGGCTTTTAGGAAGACCGTAAATTTTGGATGTTCTAGGGTGATATTCTATTAGTCTGTCCCATGATTTATTTTCACTTTTAAAAAAAATGTCCTACGTAGAAAAAAATTAATTCACTATTCAACGAACATACAATTACTGAAATGCAAAAATTTAAGAACGAGATTAGGAAACTAACTTTGTATAAGAAACGTTAATCTGTTTTATCCGGTTAGCCGATTCAGGAGTTTTGCATATAAACGCTCATCAGGGCCGGTTGTTTGAGAAATCGAGTTGATAAATTTAGATGTCTGATAAATTTGATTTATCAAACATCTGGCCATGATGAACCTATACGAAGCTCTTGAGTCGGATAACCAGATAAAGTTGAACTTTTCTTAATTTACTGAATATTATAGCTTTGTAGATCGAGTACTTTTGACAAAATTCTTCTAACCTAAAGAAACACGTAAAATTCTCTTATTTTTACGTATTTCCTCAGTTGAATTATTATTATTATTATTATTATTATTATTATTATTATTTTCCTTTGATTTCTGTTGTATACACATTTCCTTCCGGGTACCAACTATAGACCTAAAGTCAGAAATGGCTTCATGACATTTTACGCTGATCATTTTTGTAGATCACACATATTTTAAATAGATAAAGCTCTTTGTTATGTATGATCTGTACTTTTGAGTACAAATCTTTGTATTTCTTTAAGGTATGAGCTACCAGAAATCCATTCAACGAATCTATCCGAATCTTTTCCAATCAATCCGAGGGCTCCAACTACAGCTGGAATTATTGATGTCCTCATGTACCATTTGAAGACCCTCGTATTTTGATAGTTTTTTGAATATCTCCAGAGATGCATTACAATCCGCAGGGACTGCTATGTCAGTAAGAAAGCACATTCTTTTCTTGTAGTCTTTGATCACGATGTCTGGGCGATTGGCTTTGATTGTTCTAACTGGGTCCCATTAAATTATTACAGTTCCTGTCTCTGTAACCGGGTCTGGGTGTTCTTCATACCAGTTTCTTGTTTCCTTCCCGTAAAAGTTGCATATTTTCCAGTGCAGATGTTGGCCCAATCTATCACTATTATTATTATTATTATTATTATTATTTTTGTTGTTGTTGGTGTTGTTGTTGTTGATGTTGCTGTTGTTGTTGTCATGATGTTTTAATTTACGTTATAATTTGTACTCAGTTACCTGGTACACAGTATATATATACGTGTGTGTGTGTGTTCGCACGCTTGCATAATGTATGTGTGTCTGTGTTCTGTGTGTGTATGTGTGTGTGTGCAGATATATATATAGTACAGGTATAGTAATCAATACTGCATACTGACTGCAAGTTTCACGTCTCCACACGTTCTTCAGACCAAGTCGTGTAGCTGACATTCAGAATGCAGTGTTACTTCCTAGGCACACACACACACACACACACACACACACACACACACACACACTATATCTACTAACCCTATATCCCCGATAGTGAACACGCTTCACACGTTTCCCGTCTGTTAGGGTGGCTCTCTCCAGTCACTGTTGCTGATACCTGCTCAATTACATTTGCGTTTCTTCAACACCCACAGAGTCCACCTGTGGTTGAGACTATGCTTAGCGCAACATAGCTACAATTTCTGAGAGAGAACGCACCATCTAATAGGATCAACAGGTTGAATAATGTCAGTACGCCCAGTTTGCTCACAAAACTTGGACGGTGAAGAGTTTTCAGATATTTTCTGCACTGATAACATCAAGAAGACCTGACAATTCAGCCCTGATATAATTCGAAGCCGGGTTTTGTGCTCGGAATATATATATATATATATATATATATATATATATATATATATATATATATATATATATATTTTTTATATATATATAATTTTGAATTTGTAGTACTGATGAATTGGATCGTGATTACGATTCCAATGTAATAAATTATAACCCTGGAATAGTAATGTTTGAGCCTTTTAGATTATATTCTTGCTCTGTCCTGGACATTGAGCTCTACGTGGATTCTATCCTCTTGAAATTCATATATATATATATATATAGTTAATATTAGTGGTCAAAATATATATATATTGACCACTAATATTAACTATATATATATATATATATATATATATATATATATACGTATATACATACATATATATATATATATATATATATATATATATATATATATATATATATTCATGTTTTTCATAAGACATGTCTCACTGGATAATTTAGAAAAGTTTTGTCTACTTATTTTTAATAGTATCCTCTCATATTTACGGACAAACTTCCTAGTATCTTTATTAAAGGAAATGAGAAAATGACCATGTTGATATATATTCATAGTTACCTCCCCCAACGTTTACATCGTGAAATTTAAATCGTACAGTACATAACCTTAGCTTTTTTCACTTCATAGTTCGAAAATTTAACTTTCACATGGACATAACAATTTTGTCTAAGAAAGAACAACGCCCTGTTGTTGACATTGATCACTCTTGTTGGCTAACAATTTGTTTTTTGCGGCAGAATTTTTCTTATTAATTAAAAATAAATCCTAGTATTTAAGCTTCCATTTGAACTTTATTTAAATCCTTCATGTGCTTCTAATCCAAAACTATGATTAATTAATGATGAACGTGTCATTTTCGTTTATGATAGATTTCATCACGATTCTTCTGTTAAGCTTTAAGAGTAATTATACATTCGTATTGTTTAAGACAGAGTCCAATAGTGTTATAAACATTTCGGAAAATTCCAGTAAGATATCTTTAATCATTTCTAAGATACAACCTTTCAAAGCTTAATCCAATAATTGGACAATTTTGCTGTTACACCCGGTATATATATATATATATATATATATATATATATATATATCAGTGAAGTCAGGTCATATGCATTTTATTTTGCTCGAATCTCTCTATATATAGGTTAATGCTGCATTTTGAGTAGTCTATTGTATTGTTCAAACGGTTATTCTGGTATGCGATAACGGTTAGGTTTCGAATTATTCTAGGGGATATTGGGTGGAAATAATTGTAGATCCGGCTGCATATGGCCTGACGATTGCGTTTAAGCATGTGATAGAATGTCGCCTCTGGGTATTGACTTCGATGTCAACTTTATATGTACATATGCTCTATCCCTGATATTCAGTATTTTATCCCATAATATTGCATACCTTAAATCTATTTTTCATATATATATATATATATATATATATATATATATATGAGGGTGCGTGTTTATACCCTCACTATGGTAAGTTTTTGTAGCAAGCAGGTTTTATTTTGTTGAGTTCATAGCCCACCATACCCAATCGGTTTAATTTTTTTTACTCCAAGACTAGTTGTTTCAAAACTAGAGAATCCAGTCTGCGCTGATATTTAACCCATAGCTTGGGAGATAGATTTCTACCTTTCCCACGGACATTTCTAAGAAAGAAAATACAGCGTCTTCGGTTGGAATGTGGACTCAATACGCTGACTCTTTAATCGCTACGCTACGCAGTTAAAAAATAAAAATGGTACTTACTGTTTTTTAGCTGCTCCTGAAAAAGAGAAAAGAAAAAATGTAAGTAAGCAATTGGTGTATTTATATTATTTTTATACAATATACAAAAAAGAAGTATAAACTATCAGTGAAAAAAAAAATGAAGAGAAGTCTAAGCAATTATCAAAAAAATATTTAAAAAATAATTTATTTAAAAAAAAAAGTTATTTAAATTTAAAATTTTCTGTGTTCCCGCTTTTTCAGACGCATGCGCAGTCGCATAAACGTAAACATCACTTTAGTTCGATGGAGTTTTAAAGGACAAGACACGCTACACAAATAACTTTTCCACTTTAGCTAATTTATAGGTAAACTGCAGCTGCAAAATTACTTGAATTTCCCCATCATTTTTATCACATGTGTAAGCAATTATTAATAGTTATTTATATTTATATAATTAAAAATACATACTTTTTTTCTTATCTAAATCTTTCCCATATTATAAACTCCCCTTGATATGGAGAATAGAATATTATTTATTGAGTTTAACATTCACGAAATACTGAACGCGTTTGAAAAATATGGCCGTCATTTTTGTTCTCGGAGTTAATGATTGATAGTGATATATTTACAAATAATAATAATAATAATAATAACAACAACAAAAAATGTTATAAACTCTACATAAATGCAATTATGTTTCTGCCCTGTGGAAATTGAAAACAAGAATAGTAACAGTCATAGTAGGTGCGCTTGGAATGATAAAAAAAGGAACACAATAACACATTGAAAAATCCCTGGAAATCACATCTTAAGAGAAATAAAAAAAATTGTCTTGATAAGTCCAGCCTACACACTAAGAAAAACTTTGTCCATGTAACGCTAGTGATGTTATGGGAGTTGGGAAAACAAATTGTGCTGAAGACCTGGTAGGTAATCTGAGCATAGCTGAAATCGAAATATAATGATGATAATACAATAATAATTTGCTGAGACTTCAAACAAATTCCAGTAAGCATTCAATCTAGGACAGAAGAGTGGATGATTGGCATAAACCAGAAAACATGCCAGAGAGTGATTATCACTGTTCTCAGATCACAGAATAGATCTTTGTTGTGTAGAAATACAATCGACTTTCTCTACATTAATTTTTGAACATAGATTCGTCCAGTCACCATTAGTAGGATGTCTGCTTATAGGAATAGGGTCGCAAAATAATAATAATAACAATAATAACAATAAAGAAACAAAACAACACATTGAAAAATCCCTGGAAATCTCAACTTAAGAGAAATACAAAAACATTGTCTTGATAAGTACAACCCATACACTAAGAAGAACTTTGTCCATGTAATGCTAGGGATGTTAAAATTAGAATAACAAATCATAAAATATAGCCATGACAACAAACTACTACCTCCCTAAGGTCTTCCCGCAGACTTTGAAGCTAGTGTGGCCAGAGCAGAAATCGAAATATAATAATAATAATTTTTTTAATCATTTCACCCTAAGCAAGACGGGAATGCAACTAGTACGCAGGGCGTTAGAGAGAATGAAAAGACTGGGTATCGAGAGAACTGAAGAAACGATAAAAGTTGAACGAGGTTAATGTAGATAGATGATGGCATTTGACGTTGCATTTACATTTTTTTTTTACCAGGGAAGCAAGTAAAGGAAAGGGAATTCCATAGACGGAAAGTGAGAGAAAAGAAACTGTTGGAGTAGAAGTGGCAGTTATATTTGACTAATTTAACAGGAAAAAAGATGGAACTTAGATGTCAATCTAGTAGCACGCTTAAACACATGTAATCTGGGTACCAGGAAATGCTGGCCATGAAAATATTTGTAGGAAAGACCATGGTTTGGACCAGGCTCTACAGGATAAAATTCAGGAAACATGACATAGACAAATAATAATAATAATAATAATAATAATAATAAAGGAACACAACAACACATTGAAAAATCCCTGGAAATCCCAGCTAAAGAGAAATATAAAAAAAATTGTCTTGATAAGTAGAGCCCACACACTAAGAAGAACTTTATCCATGTAACGCTACGTCTTATGGAAGTTGAAAAAACAAATCATGAAATGTTGCCATAACAACACACCACTACCTGCCTTAGGTGTTCCTGCAGGCTTGGTAAGTAATACGACCATAGCAGAAATCGAAATATAAGGAGCATAATAATGATAATATTTAATGATATAGGTAAAAGCAAGTGATTTAATATATTACAAGGTGAGCAGAATTTTGTCAACAAGAATGCTAAATAGATTTCTAAAACAACAATTATTATCAATAAATAAAAATAATCGTGGACTTTTGATTTATATTTACAAATACAGGGTGTCTTTAAAATGTATACACACTTTTACAGTGTATAGTTCAAGTCAACTTGCTTTCTTTTCAGATTGACACGTTAGTATGACTAATGTCATTGAGGCTTAGCTTTGAACAAAGAAAGTTCATACTGAACTGCTACTGGAAGTAATAAAATTTAGCTGTGGTTCAAAGGCGGTATCGAAGAGAGTTTCACGCTGCTTACAATTTCATGAATTATAGATAATTTTGAAACTGATGATACTGTAGAGGATGTGCACAAGAACCACCCCCGGAAGATCACGGATATCAACCACGCCCTGTGAAGCAAGAAACGGCGATGGAAATTTTTCATAGAATTCCAAGAAACCTATCGAACAGATGACTGCTGTCTGCGATTCAATTGCGCCATGTTGTCGGCAATAACGGATATGAATTTGAAAACATGTGATGATAAAATGTTATTGGGTTGGTGCATAATTTTTTAAGTAATACTTATAATGAAAAAAGAAAGAACAATTCAACAATAACATTTTTAAATGATTATTCCGGAGCTTATGATTATCGACACGCATTTTTATAACGTGAAAATTAAATTAACATTTTTTATTAAAAAAAAGTAAACAAAACAGGAACTTTTATTAACAAAAAAATCGCTCAGGAAAACGCCTGATAATTATGCACCAACCATATATGAGCATGCATTTAAAATAAATACTGCATCATATGCATTTAAACACGATATAGTTGGTTCTAGTTGCTTGAATTGTTTGTTGGGAAAGCTTCAAAATGTGAATACATTTTTTGAGACACCGTGTAGATATCAACAACGTAGCCAATGCAGTTTGAGGCCTTAGGAAATCCTCAGACTAAACATTGTACACAGCATTCTTTCCTCATAAATCACAACAATATAAATTAGATAATTATACATCTATTTTTTTCTGTGTTATATCAAATTTTTCGACATCACAAATTATAATTATTCTCTAGTGAACAGATTGTTATCGTGTCCGGATGATAAAATTATGTCAGTTCACTAACTGCCACATTGTCGGGTCATCGGCGATTAAACTGGTTCTTTCCAACCAGGCTATTCTGGCGAGGAGAGTATCTAGACAGAGAACAGGATTAGAAACGAAAGTTGTCAAAGCTCCTTGTTGGGTCAAAGGACATCTAGTAAATTTGGGCAGACTGGGCGCCATAGCAATGCATGCAGGCAGTGCGATGATGACATGGCATGCATCGCCGAGCGGAGAGCTTCGTTATCTTCCGTCAACGGCCAGAGAGGACTGTCCCTCTGTTGGAATCAACGGAACCGCAGCGACCCTTACGACTACACTCCAGTCATGGGCCTGATGATGATTTTTTTAAAAAATAATATTCACCTAATACAAGGCCCAAGAGCCACTCAAGATGAGGGTTACTGTATGGTGTCGTATGAGCGTAAGAGAGTGCAAAAAGTGAAGTTCTTGGGGCTTTGCAGGAAAGATAACGTCTAACTTTAGACTTGTAAAGGTCAACATTTAATTAGTAAATAACATTTCAGCGTCAGAGTTCATTCGGAGACGTTAGAAGTATAGAATGAAAGTAGACTTTAAAAGGAACCGGAAACCCAATCAAAAAGAAAAAAAAACAAGGGATAAAACCCCTGTTCAAAAGATTGGGAGGAGTGTGAACCGGGCGATAGGCAAACATATCTAATCCTATTGAGAAAAAAAGAAGTAAATAAATAGTAAATAAAATTTCAGAGTTTAGGCAGAGACGTTGGTAGTATAGTGTGGAAGTAGACCATAAAAGGAACCGGAAACCCACTCCTAAACGGGAAACAAGGGATAAACTTCTAAACCTGTTCAAAAGACCTGAGAGGAGTGTGAACCGGAAGATAGGCGAGCCTATCTACTACGATGATGATGATGATGATGATGATGATGATGATGATGATGATTTCTTATGCCTGTTGTGACCAGATGATAAAATACTGCCAGTATATGATCGTCGCCTTGTAACACTGGCGCAACATGCATTCTCTAATTTGATTGGTTGATATTTTCTGTAATTTAATTGATTGGTAAATTCTGTAATTTTATTGGGTGATATTATTTTCTGTAATTTGATTGGTTGATATTTTCTGTAATTTAATTGGTTGATATGTTCTGTAATTTGATTTGTTGATATTATTTGGAAATCCTGTTTGACGTTAGACGTCATAATTAACATATTCTCGTTTCTGTTTTTTTTAAACTAAAGTTCGGCCTATACTAGGCCAAGGGGTCACTCAAAGTAGAGGGTTACTGAAGGCGGTTGTTGTGTGAGCAGTAAGGATAACAATTTATGCGGATACGTGTGAAAGATACCAATTAACCTTAGACTAAAAGAGAAGTTTGTAGTGGTCCGGAAAGCACCCCACACCGAGTTTCTGTTCTTCTTACTCATGGAATACGAAGGAAATGAGGGTAGTTTACTTCAATTGACGTGGGGTAGTGGGGCTTAGATCGGAGGACTAGAACTTATCGAACTACGAAATGTAGTTTGTTTGAACATTTTCCATGGAAATAGAGACCGAGTAACGAAAATCTTAGAACATTTCGTCTGGTGAAACAGGGTTGTAAGTTGGAAAACAATTCATCACCCAAGAAGCCGCGTAGATGTTTTTTAAACTCTACCAAGACAGGCAAGAGAGGACTGGGTGTTGTTTTTACTTGGGGAATGACTGCAAAACTTTCTTCTTCCT